AGGAAGGAACATTGGACTTACCGACGATGCGACTCAGTGTGAGGATGGTAGCTCAAGTCAATGAGCAATGCGTTTTGCCTAATATTAGCCGGGACACGTTTGAGTTGCAACGCCTGGAAACCAGCCCAGCCCAACAACGCCGTATGGGCAGAAGCGAACTTGCGGAGGTTCTTCGCGAGGTGTTCGTCTGCGGCTGGGGAGGAAGACGCAGCGGCAATGGCGGCTTTGGATACCGACCGCGGTGTGCTGACAGATTGCTTTATGGTGAATAACCAGTGACTAGTAATGAACAAGCGGACGCGCACCTCTGACTCTTATGAGAACCGATGAATTCCTGCGTCGAGCGAATTACGATGATTCCGCTTATGCGAAGGGTAAGGGGTGTGTTGGGAGAACGAGGAAGAAGGAGCAAAACACATGCCTGGAGCATATAGGCTGATGGAAAGAAGTTTAAAGAACAGAGCGTCGTTGCCGTGCCTCGAGATGCCATACCCCACTGTGGGTGTCTCGTTAGTCGTTGTTCGGTCAACTAGGAGGAGTGATGAGAGGAAAGGGCGAGAAGGAAGATATCAATGGAAGGTCAGACCGAACCAGAAGGGGGAGGGGGGAAATCTAGGAAAAGCGACATACCCCGTATAGGCCTCCACTCCAACTTTGAACTGACGTTTTTATCACCATCGACATTGTTCCAGCAAGCGCCCTGATCACGCTGACTGTCGTCGGATAGCCAGGCATATTGCTAGTTTTTGCCGCAGGGTAATATACTAGGACTGCCGCATCAGTGAAATCCCCAATACAACAAAAAAAGACTCACTAGATTCAATAGCAAAAGTTCAATAAACTCCCGTCATGATGTTCGATCGACAGGTGGCGAGTTAAGATGTGTCGATGGCGGAGTAGCACGATGCTAATCCTGTCATAGCGTAAGGGTGTGTTAAAGGAGGTAGATGTATGCACACACGAACGTTTGAGGGCAGAATTGTGACTCTTGCGATAAATGCTGTCCAAAGGAAAGGGTGTCACACTGCGCGGAAGGGCGGCCTGTTCGAGTGAGGTTTAGTGATGGCAAAGATGCGGAAGTCACGAGCTGGAAGAAGCAGAGGCGAAGACCTGAGGAAGTCCGTGACAGGTGCGATGAGTTTGTGTTGATATTCTTGGTCCTGGGAACACGATGTACTTACGTGTTCATAAGTAGAGGTTCAAAATCTTTGAACCCTTGGACTTTTCGCCATGGGTTGTCGATGGTGCAGGTTGAACGTTAAGTTTCTTGGAGATAAGATAACCGGCGGCTATTGGTGATTTCTGTCGGAGTTGGAAATACTGACGAGATCAGCAGGCTTCATTCCAAACATCTTCATAATTCCTCAATAATTCCTATTCCAATTCCAAGTCAACTGTGTGTGTGTGGAGGGGTTATAGAAGGTAGGGATTATAAATAACGAAAGCTGTACCACTCAACCAATGGATGTTAAATAATTGTTGAATACCAAAGGCCAAGGGGGCCCAGGGATTTCAGAAACGACACAGGGTAGATTTTCTTTTATAAGCCTTCTGTGACATCCCCCCCCCATCACTCCTTCTAAATAAGGTATGTTTTCATCCAAAAAGGGTATGTTTTTCCCACCACTCTTTTGAAGAAATTTCCGGCTGCACTCATGGTGGGCCATGAACCTTGAAATAATTCACTGCACCCTTTTCTGGTACAAAAATTCATCCCCTGATGCAGCTTTTTTTCACATTTGCTTTTGCCATGCAAGTCCGAGCTGAGCAAGAAAGGTGGGAGGGACGACAGAATTTTCGTTTCCCTAACACACTGACTTCCATTGTAAGTTATTAACCGTTCAACTGCATTGGAGGTGCCGCTGATGCATCTAGCGTTGCTACAGGGCCCCAAATATAGATTTTTGAAGCCTATATACTAAATTTTTTTAAGGCCTGCCAGAGGTCCCCCCCCCACCTACCTCGGGTCACGGGTCGACATCCCGGGGCCCCCTTGCCAAAGGCAAACCAAAGGGATGAGATGAGAAAAATGGAGTCGGTTCAGTTAATCAAGAAATGCGAGTGTTTAGTATAGTACAAGGGGAAAGCTAGGCAAGTATGAGAATCAACAATCTAGATGCAACTCGAGAGACAGAAGCGAATATATGGATGGCCTATACAATCCCAGAATCCTTCAAGGCGTTTTGCAAAATTGTTTTTTGGACCGTGGCAAAGACCAGCCGGATGTTGGTAGTATCCGTGGCTTGTATGATGCTGAAAGGGCAAGCAATTATTAGCAGTCAGCGCTGCAAGAACAAAAAATAGCAAAAGATCGCAAGAAGCCAGAACAGGGGATATTTGCCCGTAATTATATATAAAGGGTGCGGTTCGCGACAAGAGAAACGTAGCCGCGAGTGGGGTATGTGACAAAGATGCGAAGTAGTAGCGCAGCAGGTGAGCAACATGGCACTGGGGTAACAGGAAGCATCAAGCAAAGCGAAAAAGTCAAACTGACAAAAGGAGACACAAGACGAGAGAGATACATACTGTGGATGCACACGCAACCGTGCCCTATTTGCCTGCATGTATTTTGATAGGATGTACTTGGCCGCCTTGTTGACATCAGAGCCGCCTGTGTATTCTGGAAAGTACCACACTAGTGCCTACCACTTTTATGATAAAACCTGGGCATTTGCCTGCACAGTCTTTTCAATCCCCCCAAGTGAAATATGAAATGAAATGCCTAGGCTATTTCATTCTTGCTTTGCAGCTATTTCATTCCTACCCACCACATTTTTCATTTCTCCTTGGCAATGAAATGCATTTCATTCTTTTGCCTGTGCTTTTTCATAACTTTTTCATTCTTTGCCAACTTTATTTCTTTTCTTTTCATTCTTTGCCAGTATCATTTCATTCTTTTGCCTGCGCTTTTTCATAATTTTTTTCATTCTTTGTCAGTCTTATTTCATTCATTTGCCTGTGCTTTTTCATAACTTATGTATTGGTTTGGTTATGATGGGATCAAAATATAAGACATGTGATCTTTTAGTTGCCTCAATTTACATGTTTATTGCTCAATTAAGTTAGATTATGGCCTCAAATACAAACAAATGTAAAGATCACAAGCCAGGGGTTGATTAGGTCAAACTATAGCTAATAATTTGAGAATACATATGTTTATTATTTACAAACAAATAATGTGTCTAGTTATGAAAAGGCTTAGAGAAGCAATGAAATGAGTTTCATTTTTTTTAAGTGCAACCCTAACCTTAAACATGGCAAACAATGAAATAATAAGTTATGAAAAGGTGCAGGCAATGGAATGAAATAGGACTGGCAAAGAATGAAAAAAAAATTATGAAAAAGCGCAGGCAAAAGAATGAAATGATACTGGCAAAGAATGAAAAGAAAAGAAATAAAGTTGGCAAAGAATGAAAAAGTTATGAAAAAGCACAGGCAAAAGAATGAAATGCATTTCATTGCCAAGGAGAAATGAAAAATGTGGTGGGTAGGAATGAAATAGCTGCAAAGCAAGAATGAAATAGCCTAGGCATTTCATTTCATATTTCACTTGGGGGGATTGAAAAGACTGTGCAGGCAAATGCCCAGGTTTTATCATAAAAGTGGTAGGTACCACTCAGTACCACTCCAGTGGGACCTAAGTGGGAGAAGTGCTGGCATAAGCAAGGGGATGAGAAAATGGGCATCAGCGCAGCAAGGAGAGGGTGTGAATGAAATTGACAGACGACAGCAGCAATAAAGAGGGGAGGCAGAATGTCGGAGCAAGACCGAGAAATCACGCAGTGGTCAGAACATACCTTTGGCAACTTATGCTTGAACACGTCAATCTTGTTAAGAACCAGGATGATTGACGTGCGGCGGAACCACCTCGAATTAATGACTGACTCAAACAGGACTAGTGACTCTGCCATCCGGTTCTACAGTGGAGTGAGTTAGTATCAATGTATGAAGGAGAGAGGAAGGGAGTGGGACCTGTAATTTGTCTTCCAACAAGACTTGGTCGTACTCACTCAGCGCTGTGCAGAAGATGATGGACGTCACAGATTCAAAACAGCTAATCCATTTCTTCCACTCCGATCGTTGGCCTCCTATGTCAAACATGTGTATTCTGCGAATAAATGTTCATCAGCCCCATATCCACATAAGCCCCAGGACATAACAGGTAACGTAGCAAGAATCATGGTAGAAGACCCTGAAAAGACAACAAAAAGACAGAAAAGACATACAAGAGTTGGCCCATATTGAACCGTGTCTCCGTGATCCCGACACTCTTCTGTTGTGCTCTCAAAATATCGCTAATGTCGGGGAGATATCCGGGTGTTCCTATCCGCAGCACTTCTCCTAAAAAGCTGTTAGGCACGTCAGCAAGGACATGGTGCAAGGGAGGGAGATAAACACAGACTACTGAGCTGAATCCGTCAGGTAAAACTCGCTCAACCGTTCATCAATGAGCTGGTGTAACTTCGGGTCCTTGATGAGTTGATGTATAGCCTCTGCGATCTCCGGTGCGAATGACGCTTCACAGTTGTACTTCTCAATCTTATATTCCAAGACTTTGTTGGTGAGGGCCTAGGAGTGATTCATTAGCAAGGAGGGTGTGCGAAGGGAAGATAAAGGGATACCTGACTCAAATTGTGAGATTTTATCCCAATCTTCTGCATGTGCCGGATAACATGCTGCGTGGACTGAAGAACAGTCTCGTATACCACTGGGCGGAACTCTGCAAGCTCAGCGTCGGAGAAACCACCTTGGTGGATAATCTTCATTTGTTTCACGATGGTGCTCTTTCCTGAATCACAAGAGCCTAGACATCGTTAGTGAGTCCATCGGATGTCACTTACAAAGGACACGTGAAGCACTCACCCAGTAACAACATCTTACACTCCCTCTTGAACCGCCTGCCCTCCGGTCCCAAATGCTCTTTCCCCACTGGATCGCCTGGCAGGCGATCCATCGTCGATACGCATCCGCCCATACTTGGTCTTGCACACCGTTGTTTCCAGGGTCAGCTGTTTTAGGGTTGTGGTATCGCTCGCACGTTAATACTTAAGGTCAGCATCGTGGAGGGTAGAGGTAAGACAGGGAACAGAAAAGGAGTAGTCGATGCTCACGAATTCTAAAGGAGACGTATCTAGAACAAACTATTGATGCTTGTTTTTCATCAGGGCCTGTTCCCTTTCGGGTCTGCCAATCCTACGACCCTATCCACCAAAGGCGCCGACTTTTGACAATTCTGAGGACGTTCTAAGGAGGTTTTCCAAACTACGCCTGCGGTGCATCTTGCAATTGGTGAGACCAAGAGAGCAGTGGCGGGAACATCACTTACTCCATTGAATGAGAATGAACGACTGCAGACACTCTTCGTGCCCGAACCGTCGATTTACGCGATATGACATTTAGCCTCGGCTAACCTTCAAGATACTGAAGAATCGGAAGCATCACTCGGTTTCCGAAGGTGGAATGGACAACGGGTGTTGGGCTATTGCCCGCCTGTTAGTGGAGGGAGGCGGTACGAATAGATGTTGTACCTGATAAAAACAGTTCGGAATCCTGCCACTGCGATATGGCAGTTGGTGAGTGGATTGCGTTTTGAGTAAAAGGAAATTGATTGACATACGGAGGGGATGCAAATTGGCACTATGTTTGCCCCGCTGAGCACTGGTGAAGGGCGCCAAAATAATTTTAAACAGGGGAGAAAAAGTCATCAAGTACGGCACTTACAAACCATGCAAATGCAATACAAAATTCCCGTCGTGTAGTGAACGTTGAGTCGGCCGAGTGAAAAATCTCAAAGATACGAACCACTGCTGTAAAGTTTCTCTAACCACACGGAGCTAGCTCGTTTTACTACGTTGAGGTTGCAACGTAACAAAAGGTGGGGGGCTTACAAAAATGGTATACCCTGATTGCCATCAATGATTCCCCAAATTCCCAATTGCTGATCCAATTTTTATCAAGTGAGAACTGAAGAATGACTGTGCGTACTTGACTCCACCATGACAACAAATACGAAAACCAAGAGGATGAACATTGGAGATTGCAGCGGTATGTATCCTATCGGCGTTGTTTCGACTGACAAAAGCGTCGGAGGGAGAGGACTTGAGGGAGATAAACGACTTACTGGTTACATTTTCGATCTGATAGCTTGTGATACATATGGCAAATATCACAGCTGTCTGAAGCTTCTCATCCGTGGCGCGAACCAGTGGGGTTAACCAAGGGTTGACTTCACCGATAAAACTGCCCCAAGAACCACCTTGGAACCACCATCACCCACCGTCGCCTCCCCCACATTCCGCAAGTCCTTAGACCTATAATTACTAAACGAGGAAAGATGAGGTACGAGGCTTAAGTAGCATTGAGGAGGGAAGTACTTTGAGAAGATAACACTGGGCCGACCGCGATTGTGGCTGTGCGGCGCCTAGGAATGGAGCTGCGTGATTGGAGGGAGCTAACGACCATAATTATGGGCGTTAATGTATTTTGGGCTCAGTCAAAGGTCAAAAGTCATTCTAAAAACGAACCTTCAAGAGTTATAACGTTAATTGGTTGGTCTAAAGAAAATCGTAAGAATGACGACTCGGAAGTAAACTGGTAGGACGCAAGGGGGTCTTAGGATTCCAAAGTCCGACCAGGGGTTGGGTAGGTAGGTCGGCCGCAGGCCCAGAAAAAAAAAAAATGGAACCCTCTACAAAAGGATCTCAAAACAGGCCTGGAAGGCCACACCTTGCAGGTTTGCAGTGCCAATACACTCCAGAACATGTAGATCAGTCAGAATTCAATGATATTCAAGTTTTATATAATATTTCTTTAATCTTATCTAATCATAAATTTTCTCCACCAAGCGTCAACAGAAACACCCACCTCTTGTCATATCAGAAGACCATCACACCAACATTCCTGCAGGGTATGTTTGTAGAAAAATTGCTAGTGGAAAAGTGACTCACCATAAGTGTTCCAGTCATGCAGCTGTGGTATCACATCAACTTAAGGATGACTGGGACGAGCAGGGGTCGAGGGGCGCTGATTCAGACCAACGCGCCGACATTCCTAGAGGGTACATACAATGTTTGCCAAAAAAACGATTTGTTAGTGCAAGAGTGACTCACTGAGGTATTCCAGTCATGCAAGCATGGAATCTCCAGAACTCGAGGATGGCTCGGATGAGCAGGAGTCAAATGGCACTGAATCTGGATCAGAAGAACAGACATCAGAGTTTGAAGAAGGGGAGAAGGACATGATGGGTATCGTGAAATCTGCAAATGAACACGACGTCATGGTAGAGATTGAGGGTGTAGTAGGTGAAAGTGGGGACATGGCGGTAACAGATGTAGCAACAAATGTCACCATTGACGATGTGGGCTTGGAGAAGGACAGCATGCGTATCATCTATACTTAGTTGAACACGCACTCACACGATATGTAGCACCCTGCTCTTGGGCCACCATCGGAGACCATCTCAAGCGCCTGCAATGTTAGTGACACCGGGATAGCCGCAAGTAGTACCAACTTGGAAGAAAGTGGCCGTTCTAAAAGGAAGTGCATTCTGAGGCAAATGCCAGCCTTAAACGGATGCCTGTGTGGAAAGGTGGCAGACTCACAATCGGATGGGGTTCTTGAATGTAAGAGGCTTGGCTGTGAAACACAATGGGTAAGAATATATTCCATACAGAAATTACAAGTCACTCACCTATATGCCAGTATCATCTATGTTGCATTTCATTCCACGAAATTGGGTGTGCGAGGTCTGTGAGGCAAGTAGAGGGACAAAGCGACCACGATGATGACATCACCTTACCATATATGGACACGTGCCTGATTACGTAGGTAGGTAGGTCAAGCTAGTAGGGCTTAAAAAAAAAAATCGACCCCAGGTCTATTTTTTTAATCCTAGGACCCCCTTGGTAGGACGTACTATAGACGTAACATGAAGAGAATCTGGAAGTAAATTCAGGTCCACGGGGCAGAGAGGCGAAAAATCTCGCATAAGATCTTATGGAATGAACCTCCCCCCGAAGCCTGACATAACGAGAGCCTCCGAGTCCCAGAATTCACAAGTGTGATGCCCGGATCTGCACCGAAGCCTGGCCACCTCCGTTCTAGTGAATCAGAATCATTCCGTGTGCTTTGATTACATTTGATGCCTCTTCGAGGCTTTTCGAGTTCACAACCAAAAACATATGGGCTTCGAAAATGGCGGCATGTAAGGCAGTGCGCAGCTTGACGTCATACAAATTTACTTGTAGCCTGTAGGCGCCTTTGCCAAACAAACGTCCGTTTATAAGCCGGAACCCCACTCCCCTCATCTCCTCAATCGAAAAGTACGAGCTTCTAGAGAGGGTGATCAAGCAAAGGAATGGTTACCGGCGAATAAGTGCAAGAGGTAATATTCAAATGCCATGAGTCTTGTACCTGCGCCCGACCATGATAAGATTGAAGGAGGGCCTGACAATAACAAGGCGTGACGTGGCGCTGACATACCAAAAATCACCAAACACTTATCCGTTGAAGTAAGTCAGAGACATTGCAGACACCTTCATACGTCGAAGCCAAAATCTTGCAAGGGATGCTAGACGATCGCTCCTAAAATTTGTAAAAACAAATTCGAATTTTTGAGTCAAATTCGAGCACGCCCCGAAAGTATCACCTCCCGAAAAGAAGCAGGACGTACCCTCAGCATATGCGGCTCATGACCAGCCCCCCTAGCCATATATTCCTCCAACGAGCGCTCATAATACTACCCCAACCATCAACCCATATCCACATCTAACGAATGCACGTACCCCATGCAACATATCCTTGTAATCCGGATGCGCGCATTTCTCAATGATGAGTGGGGCACGCTCGCATTGCGATAAGCCACGGAGGTCCGTGAGACCCTGCTCGGCAACGATTATGTCTAGATCGTGCTCTGGAGAAAGGGTAAGAGTCGGCAGGAAAAGTTGTAAGACGAAATAGTGTGGTCAACGTGTGATGCGAAGGGGACGATGCAGCTGATCCCTGTCAGGTCCGTCTTGGTTGGTCGGCTAGTCGTGGTGTCAGTGGGGAAAAGAGAGGGTGACTTTGGTTCTGACGTACGCCAAAGGGATATGCATGGTGGAGAGTTTAGCGTTACAAAGGAAATCGCCTGAGCCACCGAGACCGTTCAACATTCTAGGTGACATCAATCAATTGTAGAATCGCAGAACGTACCTTGAATCAAGAGCGTTCGTGGAGTTGGGGTGGGCGTACTGCGAGCCTTTGTTAGGGTTTAAATAGGAAAGCCGGAGGAATGAGACGTACAATGTCGACTTCGAGGGGGTATTCATGGCGATGACTCGGAGACGGCGGATGATCTCGGGGGCATTTGCGACTTGTTGGGAGCGTAAAAGAAGACGGTCTTTGTATTTGGCCCAATCTAGAAGAAAGTCACGTCAGTACTGGATGAAAAGTTTTCACTGCTCACTGGCATAGAAGTGGGGGAAGCTTCAGATGGATTGAGTACTTCGTGTCTGAAGAGACAGAACAGGCAACATACCCCTCGGGCGAGAAACGGATACTAGTCGCAGTGGCAAACTGAAGCTTCCCAGAGTCGAAGAAACGAATAAAGGTATCTGCAGTGGATTAAACAGCGTTAAGAAATCATCAAGAACGGCCTACTATGTAATATGCACTTGCTCGAAAGGACCCTCCGCCAAACCACCAATAATAGAATTGGCAACGTTACCAATGCCAGATTGAAGGGGTAGAAGTGACTTGGGGAGGCGGCCAGCAGCGCCCTATCGACAAGAAATTGATCAAATGGCCTGCAATGGCGCGACTTTGATCGTTCTACATTATTGTTGATTAGAGCGAACGGAAGGAAAGCGAGGGAAGGGACGAACCTCAGGCGCGTTCTTGCCCGTGTTGTCGGGCTCGCAGGACTCAACAATGGCACCTACACGATGTGGGTCGATGGGGATGGATGTGAGACCTGTCTGGTCCATAGGGTGATTGACGAGCTGTTTGGGCTGAGTGAGGACAAACGGCCAATTCAAAAAGATGACTGACATAGGGTTGTCGGTTTGGCAGCGTGAAAGAGTGGTTGATGTCGTGTAGCCCTTCGAGGCTGGGAATGTGGGTATTGACTTCAATGATAATCTTTTCCACACTCTGCACTATTTCCGGGGTGGCACCCACAGATGCACCTAACAACCAGTCAGAATCTGACTCTAAGGAGACCCATAGGAAGTGAGGAGACACACCGGGAACGATGCTCCCATCTTCGGTGATCGCCGTCGCCTCCATGATTGCCCAGTCAAGTGGTTTCTTCGGATCGCCATGCTTCTTTTTGAGACTGTAATAACCGTAGGTCAAGTCCTGAGGGAACACTGTTTGTCATGTTAGAGTCAGTAGACCTATTCAGTGGTGAAGAAGACCCACTGGAAAGATGCTTGTCGGCGAATCCAATCCGACTGGCGTTGATGCCCCTTGCGACCTCCTTTCCGACTTGATGTGGGTATCGACGACCAATCCTGAAAAGTGTACAATCAGTGGGGCTCGACGACCAATCCTGAAAAGTGTACAATCAGTGGGGCTCGAGAGTTTGGAATACGGTCGCATGACATGTCCAGGGATGCCCAGCGGTTTCAACCTCAGGCCCGACAGAAGCGCCG